GAGGAAGAGGAGAAGCTTTTGGGAAGGATGGGCTTTTTGTTGATTTCCTGAAAGCTCCAAGACAGGCTTTTCTGGGGGAAAATTCTGAGTTTTAAGAAAGGCAGGAAAATGTAGCTCACTTAAAAAAAAGCCAACAACCCCCTCCCCACGCTTGGCTGTTTAGAAAAAAACGCGATGGAATGGATCCCTTTGGTTGCTCACACACAAACTGACAGGTCAGGAATGACGATATTCCAGAGGATTTGAGGAATTTAAACTTTCTTCTTTTGGAAAACCAAAATGGGTGAATATTCTTGCTTTGGGGAGGGGCAATATAGGAAAAAATTAAGAACTGTTGTTCTTATTCCATCACCTTTCTGTCCATTGTCTTCTTTTTTACAAGAGATAGAATTTTTCCTAGGAGGGATCAAGACTTTTTTTATTTTTTTTTTAAAGTTTTATTTTATTAAATTTTGTGCCAGTATTTGTCTTTTTTTTTTTTTTCTTTTTCTAAATAGTCTTAAGCTCTAAGATGGTCTCAGTATTGCAATATTGTGTGTGTTTGTTTCTGTTCTGCCAGCAGAGACTTTTATCCCAGGGAGGAAAAAGAGAAAAAGAGGAATTAGTTTATGTAGACCCCACTGGAGAATTGGAATGCTGGGTCAGGGTTGGGAAGGAAAATGAACCCCAAAGTGGCTCCTGTTGATGCTGGCTGGGGGTGCCACTCCTGTTTCCAGCCCCACATGCTGTGCTGATAATGCTGGTTGAAATCCCTGGTTTTGGGGTTTTTTTTTATGTCTGGCTGCACAAATCCTCTCAAAATTTCCATGAAAAATGTCTTTTTTGCATTTTCCAAATCACTTCTTTTGCTCAAGGAACACTTTGGTGCTTACAGAAAAAAAAAGGTTTTTGGGAGGGGGAAAGGAGAGAAATTCCCATGTTTTCAATGCGGTAAATGGAAAATATGCAAGTCAATTGAGGGGAAAAATCAGGAAAACGTTCAAAACCCAAAGGGAAATGTTTTTTCCTTCCTGTTTCAAGCAGCTCTGTCTTTATGGCCATGTGTGGGCACAGCAGAAAGGAAATTGTCCCTACAAACGGGCTCATGGCTCTTGGGCTGCTGCTCCTGTCAGGGTGTGAGTGGCACTGCGGTGTCACAGGGGTGGCTGTGGGATCAGTCCCAGGGCAGCTGCTCCCTCTGCCCTCCAGACCCTTCCTGCAGCTGGTTTTCTCTGCAGGGCTCACTCCTGCTGCTCCCCGGGGTGCTCTGGGCAGGCTGAGACAAGGTCCCACTGCTCTTGGGTGAGGCTGGGGGGAGCTGGAGGGTCAGAGGTTGTTTCCAGATCCCAATACAATCCCAAAGGCAGATCCTGCTGAAAGGGAATCTTTCACCCCCTGGGTGTTTGCATTTAAAGGCAGCATTTTGTACTTTACCAAAATTCTCTGTGAGTGCTTTGTCTGTGTGTCTTTGGGGCACAGAGTTCACTCCAGAGGCACTGTGGGGTCAGAGCCTTTCCAGAGGTGCTGTGGACTGATTCCTGCCTGATCCCAAAGGATTGGGTAGCAGGACAGGAATCTGGGTCAAATATCCAGAACATGCAGGCACAAACCTGCAGGGGCAGAGCTGGAGGGGAGCCCAATCCCAAGGTGTTGCCCAGAGGTGCTGGGCTCTCCTTTCCCTCTGGAGCTGGGGGGACCCAGCACCTCTGTATCCTAAAACTGCTCATTTTAGGGGAAGCCAGCTCCAGAATTGCTGTGTCCTTCTCAGAGGTGGTGTTGGAAGGGAAATGGGAAGGCCAGGAGGGAGCTCCTGCCAGGGGGTGGAAGCAGAGGGGGGTCCAGGAAGGGAGGTTGTTACACTCAGGTGCTGTGGGTTGTCTGAAGGAAAGGATGGGATGGATGGAAAGGAGGGAGGAGGGGATGGAAGGAAGGGGAAGGGAACCCCAAAGGAGGAAAGGGACGCTCCCACTGAGAAGTGGAACTTGGGCTCATCTCCTCAGGCAGGCAGGGAGGAGGAGGAGGAGGATGGAGGCAGCCTGGCCAAGCTGGAGGGAGGAAAGGAAAATTGGGATATCACAGGTGAGACCCCCACAGGTGAGGCTCTGGGACAGATGCAGAGCCAAGGCTGGGCAGCTGAACAGGGAGCCAGGAGCTGTGTGAGGGCACAGAGTGCACAGGGAGGAGCTGCTCAAGAGCATCCCAACAGGAAGGGTTGCATTCCCAGAAATCAGAGGGGCTTTTTTAGGATGTTCAGGGTCGCTGCAAAGTGCCCTGAGCTTGCCCATCATGGGTCCCTTAAATCTCCCTTCCACCCTTAGAAAGGGACTCCCAGACATCCCTGGCAAAGGGCTGTGTCCCAGGACATCCCCCCTGCTTTGCTCAGATGCTCCAGCTGAAAAAGAAAAAGAATGAGATGAAATTTCCCTACAATAGGAGGAATTGCAGGTTTGGCTGCACCCGCATCTCCCTGGCAGGCTAAATCCCTCATCCACTGTGCTCGTTCCAGGATTTTCTGGTTTCAGCCTGTGTGTTCCCAGTGATTTTAGGGACATGGATAAAGGTTAGGAAGGGTGAGCCATGGGAAGCAGCTCTGGATTTTTGGAAGAAGCCTCTGGCTGGAGTTTCTCCATCATTTCTCCCAGCCCTTTGCCCTCCCAGCTCCCAGCCTGTGGACACTCCCAGACACATCAGCTCCATCATTTCCTATTTTCCTTTGCTTTTATTCCCGTTCTAGAGGCCATCCCAGAGGTGGGTGCTGTTTATACACTGGAAATGTGCAGAATTCTCCTTGTTTCTTTTGCTTTGGTTCCTTTTTCCTTCTGCTTTTCATTGCTGGCCTTTGGTGAGGGCTGTGCTGAGCCAGGTGAGCTCAACCCAAACCCTCTGAGCTCCTTCAAGTCCACAAAAATTTGTTTAATCCCCACCTGCTGGCCCAGAAGGATGGATTTGAGAGGGATGATGGAGATTTGCCAGGGCTGGGACTCCCTCCTGTGCTGTTTCCTCCACACAGGAGTGAATTTCCCCTCGCAGATCCTGTTGGAATTGGGGTCATCTTGTCTTGGTTTGGGATGTCTCAGGTGCTTTGGGTGAGTTTTTGGGGTATTTTCTGTGTCCTGCTTGTTTTCTGCTGTTTCCATGTGGGTTGCTGTGCCCTTGGCCTCTCTGGCAGAGCCTGAGCCCTGCTTGCAAACAGCTTTGAGGACCTTGACAGTTGATATTTGAGAACTGAAAAGTAAAGGGGAAAAATCCAATAATGATAAAAAACCACCCCAATAATGATGAAAAACCACCCCAATAATGACAAAAACCACAAGCACTTTCCTGCTCTCCAGCTCCATATGTGGGATCACCAGAATCCTGGGACAGGGGGTGTGTCCAAGTGGAGATCCACGTTATTCCCACACTCCATCCCAATGCAGATGTGATCATTCATGGGGAGAAATAACCAAACAGGAAAAAAAAATAAAGAATAATGTAAAATTTCATCTTCTCCTGTCTTCCCAAACCAACACCTCCTCCAAAAAAGTCTCAGAAAACATCAGTAAATCCAGGTTCTGCAGAAAACATCGCCATCTTCTGAGTTCTGATTTTTTGGAGGGGTTTTCTCTGAGGTTTTAGGATTTAGTTGCTGGTTCCTTTTGG